GTCGAACACTTGTAAACACAACTCGTAACGACAAGTAATTATGGCGTCATCACTAATCTCCACACATTACAAATCACTACAACACGCGTCAAGTCTTCTCAGTCTGCTTTCACCAGTCGTCTCCTGGTAACGGGTTTTAACACACTGGAGATTCTTTAGTTTCTGTAACCACTTTGTTGCCCGCTGGCTTCCTGGTGGAAAAGAGCGGCGGCGCGTAAGGCGACAACCTCACCGCCATCTGTGAGCCGATTGTCTAGAGAATGTGCGAGCACAACCCTGTGGCCTCCACGGCCTCTTGCAGGGATGGCTTTACCTTTACCGGTATATGTAACTGCAGTTTATCAAGTTCGCAAGTATTTCTGCCGAGAAGAACCTGTAGTATGGGGAATGGGTGCCCCGGTCCCACGCTGGATAAGTGACCCACCGAGCAGTCTCACTCACCGAACATGATGCTCTCCGTGTTCTCAGGTTTGCACCATAAACCTGTGCACGAGTGCGTTCTCTTTGGACAGTCGATAGCCTTCTTTACTCTCTGTGGCGAAGAAACTTTAGAGCGGAGACGTCGCTATGATGGCAAGCTTCAAATTTAATGTAGATTCTTATATAGAAATCTTGACTTTCTTTCATAAAAAGAAACTTTTCCTTTAAGGGTGTCGAAGAACTGCCCACCAGTGTAGGTAACATACACTATTTTGCGAAAGAGAGCCTCCCTTCCCAACTTATGATAACTCAAAATTTGTCGTTCCCATCCTTTAGAGTAATTCGGGCCACGATTGTTTTAGAAAATGAATCAGTGGTCAGAAAGACGGATCTCATAATGATATTAAAGAGTCGCCAGTATTTCAGCTGTAAACAAGATCAAGCTATCCCTGTCACAGGCCGTGAACGCCCATAGGGCTGTGAGACGTCGAGGCTCCCTACATTTTCTACAGATTCCACTCACAGATGGCACCTTTACCCCACAGGAATATTCCTGGTGGTCCTTTCTGTTTAGGCTAAGTCGGCTCCAGGGACATAGTGTGGCTGGAAGGATTATGTCAATTGAAAATTCCAATATCCTCATCGGGAATCAAACCCGTGGCCTTCCGTCTTGTAGTAGAGTGCCTCAACCAACTACGCTACTATTACAAATTTACTGATGGGCTACTAATGTAGGGGCCGTACCCAACACTCAGATGCACTGAATTTGAAGCTTCATTGAACTGCAACACAGAATAATTGATTTTAAGAGCTTGCCATTTTGTTCGATTTTGGGGTTAGTGCAATTTGTGGGCGCAGTCGATGTTTCTGATGTTTTAGAGGTACATGCTGCTTCCATCTTCACAGCCCAGAAATACAAATTCTTTATATACACAGGTACTTAAATACCTTACAAATTATCCCTTGTGGGGGCGGATTCGCATAAATCCAGCATATCCCTGCGAGCTGTAGAAGGAATAGAGTGCCTCCAGGTCTAACCGGGACACCCTCTTCCTGGGGGATATCAGTACAGGACCTGGCCCTCTACAATCTGAGACAGTAAAATATAGTCATTGATGCCGCAGGACTGGGACCTGAGAATGATTGCGCTGGCGAGGACCGGCAGCAGTTTTAAACGACAGACCTGTTCTTCTGTCACAAAGGGCGCCCCAGATCAGCAAACTCGTAACTGTCTGTCAGTAACAAAAGTCTACTCTTGGGCCCTAGATGGGGGTTGACACCAAGATAGACTGTCCGACTGACCGTCGGTCATAAAATAACTTTGTCTTGGACTCTGATTTCAGTCAGCTGAGTGGAATGTGTTATTTGGAGTAAGGAGTTAGTTGTGAGACAGTCGCCAGCCGGTAAGAACGTGAGCACAGAAGCAGAGGACATTATTGGATCCGTCACTAGGCAACGACTAGAGAAAACGTAGCATACTGAGAAGAGTTTATGTGTGCTCTGTTTACGGTGATCTTTGGAGAGTGTAACTCAGAGTGTAGTAGCTGTTTGTAGTTACACAAGTGTTGCGCTAAGTTGGTAGTTCGTGTACAAATATGCAATATTAAGAAATGATTTTAGTTCGTGCACAGATATACTCCATTGAGAAATGTTAATGGATAAATATGCTACATTGAGATATATTGTTAGTGAACACATATGCTATATTGAGATATATTGTTAGTGAACACATATGCTATATTGAGATACAAGTATATTGTTAGTGTACACATATGCTACATTGAGATATATTGTTAGTGTACACGTATGCTATATTGAGATATATTGTTAGTGAACACATATGCTACATTGAGATATATTGTTAGTGAACACACATGCTATATTGAGATATATTGTTAGTGTACACATATGCTACATTGAGATATATTGTTAGTGTACACATATGCTATATTGAGATATATTGTTATTGAACACATATGCTACATTGAGATATATTGTTAGTGTACATATATGCTATATTGAGATATATTGTTAGTGTACACATATGCTATATTGAGATATATTGTTAGTGTACACATATGCTATATTGAGATATATTGTTAGTGTACACATATGCTATATTGAGATATATTGTTAGTGTACACATATGCTATATTGAGAGCTGTTGTTACTGTACACATATGCTATATTGAGAGCTGTTGTTAGTGTACCTTCAATTCTGACTTCTGGTTACAACTGTTAGGCGGCCTTGATAGCAGACACCGCCTCGAAGATTTCTGTATTTCGTATCTGCGGCAATCGCCTGCCTCGGCACGCGTTACCATGGAAACACCTCCAGTTCCGCAGTAACCTTTATGCCTAGAGAGTGTTTCCATGGAAATGCATGTATAATAGCCCCATGGCAACGCGTCACGGGAACGTGCTCTTAATACTCGTTGCCTAGGAAGTCAACTTCCGGTCTGACTCCACCATTCCGGCTTTCAGACGTCACTTCACAATATATTTCATCTTACCTACAATACTCCTCGGAGTTTTATTTTGTGGAGGTCGTGGAAGAAACCCAGGATATGCACATCTCACACAATTAATGTCAAAACCCAACTCATATTGAAAACTTCATAGACTCTTCATAAATAAAATGTTGTTCCTCGCTCAGTAAAATAAGCTTATTAATTCGATTGTGGATTGTGGAGGGACCTCATTCACAGAGTCTTGTATGCAGTTTTTTTTCTTTTAAGCTTCTTGTGGTGGAGTGTCCACTTGGTACGTCGGCGCTAACTGACCTATTGTACCTGCCCCGGATGATAGACGATGAGTGTGAAGCAGTCGGTGGAATGAGAACTGGCAGGAGTAGTCTGAGAAAATCTGCCCCAGTAACCCTTTGTCCACCAAAAATCCCACTTGAATTCACCTAGCCTCGTACCCAGACCGCTGCGGTGGAAAGCCGGAGACTTACCACCTGATCTATGACACCTGTCTCCCTAGTTTGTTTGCTTCACAGAAACTAAATGTTCTGCATCAACCGCCTGTGAACAGAGCCACAATCTTCAGAAACGGACATGCGCTGCTCTAAGGCAATATTTCAGTGCCCCCATGTTGGTTGCAATTACTAATGTACTTAATTATGCCTTTATGGAAGGATACAGCACTCGATATAGCGGCTGCGTACAGGCTGAACGTCCTGGGACTGTATTTCCGCCATGTCTAATTCCTCGCGGAGTAAACCGGGAGGGGCGTGAAACTGAATATGGTGCTGACGTCAAGAGAAGTGGATTTATACCTCCATTCTGCCATAAGTCTTCATGTCATGGTGCAAAATAATAATTTGTCTTCTTTAACTCTGTCATATAAACAGTATATGTGAAAATACATTCTCCAATGAAAACTGCCTTAGAGGTTTGATTTACACGTCTTGAGATCAAATTAGTGACTTCTGTTATGCCGTCTGTTTCGGTATATAGAGGCTGTTCCAGAAGGAAAGGTCTACATTATGGGAGGTCATAGTATCGGTCATTCTAAGCAAAAAGTGTTTGTGTACTTGTGTCCTATTTCGAACGGTTCCTGAGACAGAACTATTTCACTGTACAGTTCCAAAATTGTTGACAAGGAAGAGGTATTACGTGCTGTTCTAATAAAATGTTTATTATTCAAGTAACAAAATTGTACAGTTCATCTGGTATAATAAAATTATCGAAAACTCAACCGTCAATATCAATGCACTTTGCAACTCGTGAGGGCATTGCGTGTTGCTCTTTGTATAGTGTTTTTCGTAGAACTGCATTGGGAACCGGATGTTGAACTACAGAGCCATAGAAATATTCCTCCGTGAGAAAGGTCGTCCGTGTTTTACATTTCGCATGAAGGCGGATAATCCAGTTAAACACGTTATCAGGCATTTGCCTGGCAAATCACTATAGGTGCTGTTATTCTCCGCAGCTCCGTTCAGCAGCAACAGTCTTCGAAACACCACAGAGAGAAGGGCGCCAATCAAATTGCAGGGGGAAGTATTTATGTTATGCGATGGCAGTCACTGCGGGATGCTACGCGGTGACTGGGCGGTGGCCTCTATCTCTGGTTGATCGGAAGGCTTGTGTCTCCTCCGTGAGTGACGTCAGCGAAGCAGGAGATAAACCGCCAGGATTACGCATATAACTGCCGGAGGCGCCTCAGTGCGTGCTTGTCCAAGGTGATGGACCTTCAGTGTCATTCTCTCTGGTGAAACTGTACGCCCCAGGCGTTTCGGAGTCTTTGCAATTCCACTGAGTCTCACATCTTCGACATAAAGCCGGACACAACCCGGAATCTGCCGCCCAAAGATAGCAGAAGCGTCACAGATGCAGAAAGTAACGTTCACTGGGTTTCCGTCCTGTGACATCGTCGCGCCCGGCAGTAGTCACGGATGTCCCGGTGATGATCACAAGGCATGGCTTGCCACCACCTGAGCCCTCGGCGTTCTTACTGTTCACTTGGTTGTGACGTCAACGTGAAGTGAAGGGACAGGGGCGGAGCACCTCGGCAGTCTCCTCTTCCCGCTGACACTCTTTCGATTCCCGAACGCCGCTAATAATCTGACTTCAATGGCAAACAAAATAAAATTAATGTTAATAGACGTAACATATTAATTTAAGGATAAGAAAATGGTACAAATAATTCTCCAGTTAACTGTCACCAAAGCTTATCCTCTAGAAACAAGAAGTTACGGGAAGTACAAATCGCCTATTTCCCTCTCTGTGGAGATTGATGACACTGGAGTCGACTCTAGGCTCTAACAGAAATGAGTTCCAGCAATCTTCCTGGCATAATGTGCGGCATACCGGCGTGTAAGTCTGAGAACCTCACCGCCATCTGTGAGCCGATTGTCTAGAAAAAGTGGGAGCCTCAACTTCTCAGAAATCTATTGGCTTTCGCGGGTTGTCACAGGGATAGCTTCACCTTTAGTAACTTTACTAAATGAGTGTTTCGTACGACAAATGCGTGAAAAATGTATTTTATATACGTAAGTCATTATAACAATAATATGAATTTGATTTTTATAGAGCCCGAAAGAGCATATGTTAAAAGAATTGAAAGCGGTCAACTTATTGCCAGAGGCTCGTCAGTATGAACAGAATGCACCATAGGAAATGTAGCTGTTATCCCGAGGGGCTTTATGAGAGAGGCTACTGACGGGAGAGGTTTATGGGGTATAATATTCTGATAGCCTCAGACGCTGTAATACACATGCCAAGTTTCACGAAGATTAGTTGAGGCTTGCAAGGAATATTATGGTTTTGATTAGCCCAGTAATTTGGGACGTTTAATGTTGGTAATGTTGATAATGAACATTTGCTAATTATGCCACTGAGATGCATACCAATTTTCATGACAATCCATTCAGACATTTTGTGACTTGACTTTACCTGACATAATTCCTGTAGTGCCGAGTGGAACCCAGGGCTCCTGTGAAGCTTCTCCGTCTTCTTCTCTGGTTAGCCAATCCCTTAACCTCTCTCCAGGTCTTTTCCTTCCCGGCTATTTCCTCTTCTATTGCCTTTTCCAAGTTTTCCTTGGTCGCCCTCTCCTTCTGGCACCTTGGGGGTTCCAGTCTAACGCATCCCTTTCTACGGCACCAGTTGGTTTCCTTAAACTGTGCCCGATCAATCTCCAATTTCTCATTTTAATTTGGATGGCATTCGGTTCTTGTTTGTGATTTCCCAGAGAGAGTTACTTGGTGTTGTGTCTGGCCTTAAGCACCTGTTTATAAAGCTTTGGAGTTTGTTCATGCTTGTTTTTATTACTTTCCGTGTTTCACGGGCATGAAGGAGAATGGATTTTACATTAGTATTAAAAATACGTAATTATTATTTTCAATATTCTTTTTCCTCCATGCCTCCATAATTATATAAATGCTGTATATTATGCTTTTTTTATTCTTTGATTTATGTCTAGATCTGTTCCTCCTTTTTCACTTACTTTGTTCCCCAGAACTCTCCGACTGTTCAATGTATTTGTTAGGGATGGATAGTTTCTCCTCTCTTTGGGCATCTTCTCATTTCTTTAGCTTTATTTACATTGAAAGTTAGCAGAGCTCTCTACTTTTGTGACACTGAGTTCATTGTCGCAAGAATTTCAGGAACTGTGGTATTCGTATTACTGTTGGAATTATTTAGGAAGTCTGCAGTTGAGATGGAATGAGGCGCAGTGAGGCACACGCAAAGTTCCATGAAGATTGGTTCAAGTACCGAGAAACATATAAGGAGGGATAAGCATACATGCACACAGACATCAAGGGCACCTCACAAGCCTACTTCCATTTTCTTAAAGCGGCGAACTGTATGTTAAGCACACCTTATAGGCCGAAGGGTTCTGTCAGAAGCCACCTTATTTTTTGTGTACTCTTCAGATTACGTTTTAATATGGACTCGTCCAGGAACCAAACTAGAATGATGCTGATGAATTGGCTCAAGACTAATCCAATAATTATTCCTCTTACTATGATAATTTTCTTTACAATCACATCAAAAATTGCATCGTAGCAGCCCACCTGAAAGAGAATTTTTGTGCCTTTTGTGTATATTGGACATTTCGAAACACCATTTTCTAGTACAGCACTCGAAGGGCAGCAGGTTCCAGGGACTTTGCTACCCGTGATATTAGAAGCTGTCGATATTTGCTCGAAATCGTTGTAATCATATACACCACAGCATTCATGTTTGGTGAAAATGCTATCCCATATGAGAGTTTCAGTAGTCTTTTCTTCCTCTTTTGCAGTCATATTGTAACGGTAAAGGGAGGCGTTCATGGCAGCTTTTATTTGTCTCTCTCCCTTAAAAGCGTAGCCTGTAGCTAAACATCCAGCAGTGAATTCCAACACCAGAATGACAAACAGAAACGTGAAGTAATAATTCAATAAACATCTCCTCTCACGTGGTAACACTGCGCTGCAGCCTAGTGAGTTTGCAGAGACCAAAGCTGCCAAAAATCCGATAATTACGTATATAACTCTGTCTACGACGAATAATTCTATTTTTTCGGCCACTTTAATTCTGATTTCTTCGTCATCTATCAACCCAGTCAATTTAACTAATGCATGTCTGTCCCAGCCAACCCATATTGCACAGCAAAGAGCGAAGGATCCAGCCAATAAGAGCAGGGAATTTAACACTAAGAAGATCCATGTAGCCACCTTAATATTGCAGATGTAAGAGAATACGTTACGTTCTTCGTTATCCGTCATTGTATTCTCACAGTCAGATCCCATTTGTGACATCCTTTATGACGTTTTGATGACTCACCACAGCGCCTGTGTTCAGTAACGAATTAACTCGCAAGTAAAAATTGTTACAGCGTTTCCACTGTTCTGTACACTCTAAAGTAACTACTGAACACATTGAGTCTTCACGGTCTGATATGTCTTTACGTGTAGTTCCTTGGTAGCGGCTTCTAACACTGGAGATTCCACTGCTTCCGTTGTGACGGAAACGTGTTTACCCAGCTGTTCAGTAGCAACGATGTAGGGTACAGGTACATTCCTTTGATAAGAGGGGAGCCGAATAAAGAACGATATTCCCAACAGTAGTTCTATTGATGCGTGTGTATTCGTTGTCACGGGAACGTGTTTACCGAGCCGTTGACTAGCAGCGATTAAGGTGGAGGACACCCATGCAGACACTCAGAGAAGGTCTGAGAAGTCAACTTGTATTTTTAGCCTAATTTCCTCAGTCTGAAAGAAATATAAATAGGTTCACGAAATAAACTTTCTGGCCGTGTGTCTGTGTTTCTCCCATAATGCCTGAAAACATGAAGAGTGGTTCCTGAAGAGACTTTTGTGTGTGTCTGTTCCCGCGACAACGAATAGACAAGCAAAATAGAAGAATAATTTGACGCGTCGTTTTCTATGCAATCCGCTTCGTATTGAAGGTAAACCTGTGTGTCTGCGTCTGCATACGTATAAATCACTACCGCTGCTAAGCAACGGCTCAAACACGATATCGCTGCAACGACAAATTTGTAGACATCTTTCCCAAGCTGTCGGCATCATACTGAAGGAACCAGTACTTTTTGTTTCGCAAAGGTAATGTAGCCTAAGTAAGAAGTTGTGCCTGCTTTCCTTGAAGGAGACTAGGGAGGCATAGAAAAGTCGTCCGAAAACTATTTTATTGTGTGTGTATTCGTTGCCGCGGTAGCGTTTATGTCATGCCGGTAACTACCTACAAGATGGAGATACACATGCAAACACACAGACCGATGGGAGGAAGTTATGAAGTACGCCGTTGAGATGGGCTCAGGTGCCGTGGAATACACGAATATACCAAATTTCATAATATTGGTTAAGGCATGATCTCATGCGCCTACTTGCATTCTTTCTCACATAAGGGGTATGTGCAGCGGTATGAACTGTATTCATCTGGCTCAACACAGGGACCAGTTGTGGGGAAATTCTTGAGTAGTGGCGACTGACGGCTTCTCTGGGACTCAGGTCCATGGAGTTAGGGAGTTAGGTACGTAGACAGATCACTTTAGAGGAAGCATAATTGACGTTTAATTATGAAGTAAGAATGATGTTTGAAAATTTTGCAGCCAGCTGCAAGTATGCTCTCTTCCTGTCTTCGTGGAGTCTACCTTCGTGTTTCGCGGTCATGACTTCGAAAGCAAAATGTTGCATAAGGAGACTCACGTAACGAATTGTCACGATTTTATGGAATGACTATACATGGCATTTGGTTTGGTGACGGGATTTATCGAACACTTGTAAACACAACACGTAACGACAAGTAATTATGGCGTCATCACTAATCTCCACACTTTACAAATCACTAGAGCACGCGTCAAGTCTTCTCAGTCTGCTTTCACCAGTCGTTTCCTGGTAACGGGTCTTAACACTGGAAATTCTTTAGTTTCTGTAACCATTTTGTTGCCCGCTGGCTGATTCTAACTAAAGTCAAAGCCAGAATTACTTTACGACTAACGGCTTACCGAGAGTCAGTTCATTTTGCTGTCAAACCTCTTAAGACTCAAGACCATAATGAATTTGACTGAAAATATCAAAACCAAATAGTAGAATTTCGAAGTAACAACCACGCTAGATGCTAAAGACAGGTGAATAATAATATTGTGACATGTTGAACCCTACCTCCCCAGCGGTAACGTAGCGCTTGCGTAATAGGCGAGACATCACCCCGCCACTCTCGCCGCGGTGACGTCACGAGCGGAGCCGAAGAGAGCCGAGCNGCAACACAGCTCCAGGCAACAAGGCCGTTTTCCGTATTGTCCGATCAAGGCTACATCGGGAGCAGCGAAGGCTATTCACAGTCAGTGCGTTACCACCGAGTTATACAGTAACAGTCGCCGAGTAGAGTTGTACTGAGTTATACAGTAACAGTCGCCGAGTAGAGTTGTACTGAGTTATACAGTAACAGTCGCCGAGTAGAGTTATACTGAGTTGTACTGTGACAGCCGCCGAGTCGAGACGTAGAGTCAGCCAGTCAGTTGTATTCTGGCATTTGGAGTGTACTAATTGTGATACTGCAGATAGCAGTAATCGTAAATCTGTAATTTGAGTGATTGTATGAGCGAATGTGAAATAAAATTCGCTATATAAAACACGACGTGAAGTTATTTGTCGCGATACACCCCCGATACGCGACAATATAATCAATTTTCCCATTTTAATTATTTGGGCTACACTTCACCCTATTGTCAAATTGACCGACTGTGTATAGAATTAAAGAAGTGAAAAACCGGCCAAGGTCCAAAGTTTTATAGATTTATAGAGAAAGAGGGAAACCCTTCCAGCCGCTCTATGGCCCTTGGTTCGACATAGCCTCTAACAGAAATGAGTACCACTAACCTTCCTGGCGGAAAAGAGCGGCGGCGCGTAAGGCGATAACCTCACCGCCATCTGTGAGCCGATTGTCTAGAGAATGTGCGAGCACAACCCTGTGGCCTCCACGGCCTCTTGCAGGGATGGCTTTACCTTTACCGGTATATGTAACTGCAGTTTATCAAGTTCGCAAGTATTTCTGCCGAGAAGAACCTGTAATGAGTGCCCCGGTCCCACGCTGGATAAGCGACCCGCCGAGCAGACTCACTCACAGAACATGATGCTCTCCGTGTTCTCAGCTTTGCACCATAAACCTGTGCACGAGTGCGTTCTCTTTGGACAGTCGATAGCCTTCTTTACTCTCTGTGGCGAAGAAACTTTAGAGCGGAGACGTCGCTATGATGGCAAGGTTCAAATTTCATGTAGTTTCTTATATATAAATCTTGACTTCCTTTCATAAAAAGAAACTTTTCCTTTAAGGGTGTCGAAGAACTGCCCACCAGTGTAGGTAACATACACTATTTTGCGAAAGAGAGCCTCCCTTCCCAACTTATGATAACTCAAAATTTGTCGTTCCCATCCTTTAGAGTAATTCGGGCCACGATTGTTTTAGAAAATGAATCAGTGGTCAGAAAGACGGATCTCATAATGATATTAAAGAGTCGCCAGTATTTCAGCTGTAAACAAGATCTTGCTATCCCTGTTACAGGCCGTGGACGCCTATAGGGCTGTGAGATGTCGAGGCTCCCTACTTTTCTACAAATTCGACTCACAGATGGCACCTTTACCCCACAGGAATATTCCTGGTGCTCCTTTCTGTTTAGGCTAAGTCGGCTCCAGGGACATAGTGTGGCTGGAAGGATTATGTCAATTGAAAATTCCAATATCCTCATCGGGAATCAAACCCGTGGCCTTCCGTCTTGTAGTAGAGTGCCTCAACCAACTACGCTACTATTACAAATTTACTGATGGGCTACTAATGTAGGGGCCGTACCCAACACTCAGATGCACTGAATTTGAAGCTTCATTGAACTGCAACACAGAATAATTGATTTTAAGAGCTTGCCATTTTGTTCGATTTTGGGGTTAGTGCAATTTGTGGGCGCAGTCGATGTTTCTGATGTTTTAGAGGTACATGCTGCTTCCATCTTCACAGCCCAGAAATACAAATTCTTTATATACACAGGTACTTAAATACCTTACAAATTATCCCTTGTGGGGGCGGATTCGCATAAATCCAGCATATCCCTGCGAGCTGTAGAAGGAATAGAGTGCCTCCAGGTATAACCGGGACACCCTGCTCCTGAGGGGATATCAGTACAGGACCTGGCCCTCTCCAATCTGAGACAGTAAAATATAGTCATTGGTGCCGCAGGACTGGGACCTGAGAATGATTGCGCTGGCGAGGACCGGCAGCAGTTTTAAACGACAGACCCGTTCTTCTGTCACAGAGGGCACCTCAGATCAGCAAACTCGTAACTGTCTGTCAGTAACAAAAGTCTGCTCTTGGGCCCTAGATGGGGGTTGACACCAAGATAGACTGTCCGATTGACCGTCAGTCATAAAATAACTTTGTCTTGGACTTTGAGTTCAGTCAGCTGAGTGGAATGAGTTATTTGGAGTAAGGAGTTAGTTGTGAGACAGTCGCCATCCGGTAAGAACGTGAGCACGGAAGCAGATGACATTGTTGGGATCCGTCACTAGCCAACGACTAGAGAAAACGTAGCATTCTGAGAAGAGTTTATGTGCTCTGTGTTTACGGCGATCATTGGAGTGTGAAACTCAAAGTTAGTAGTAGTTTGCAATTACACAAGATGTTGCACAAGTGTTGCGCTGAGTTTCACGGCTTCGTCCCTTTTCACTCTCGTATGATAAAGTTTTCAACGTTAAAACGGAACGTGTTAGGGAAATAATCGCTGTTTACTATGAGGACCATATTGAATAAATACATACACAGTGTGGTCAGAATGCAGATTTACTACAATCTTAAAACATTTGTTTACAAGAATTGATATGAGATACATTTCTCATTCAAAATTCCTTAACCTTTAACGACGGGCTTCTGAAATGGTGGTAAGCTTGAGCTGGCCGGAGTATATTTAAATGTCCGTTGCTATTGCGCGTTAAATGCCTGTTGCTACCCTGTATTTAAATGTCCGTTCCTGCTAGGGCACTTATACAATTTTAAACATTGTGTTTAAAAATGCTGTATCTAACTCAATTTTTATGTTAAATGGATGGAATTAACTTTGTTTGTAACAGCAAAGAACATAGTGTTGCATATTACAACGGTAGATTTGAAAAATTTTATACACAATGTTCTACTCTGTTTTCAATTTTTTTTTCTCTTTTATGAAGTGTACTGCAAAATTGTTTTTCCAAGTTCTTCACAGAGTAGTTACTATAGGATTCTGACGATGGTGTATAACACACAGAGATATTGGGTTTTCGGACTTTATCCATCGTCCTCGTTTTAAGATAACTAAGAAAAACACGACGTTTCGGAAACTGGATCTGTTTCCGTCCTCAGGTAAGGGAAGACACATATTCTGTTGAGTCCCTTAGGGACGATGGATAAAGTCGGAAAACCCAATATCTCTTCACAGAGTTATTCTGCATTATAAATTCGTTTCTGTTTGTAACACTTGACAAATTTTAGCTGTCCCTGGTGCCATAAAACACATGGAAGCAATAAAATCGTTTGGTTCTCTTCTAGAAAACCTTGCATCTTTGTTACACTCTTCAGATTTTCGAATCTTTTGACTAAATGACTGAAGAATGAAAGCATATCTATTCAAGATATGGCTAGAGGGGTCCCTTCTTCAGTGCTAAGACCTTCCGTTATAGCTGAAAGAGATTATTGCCCTTTCTATGGGCGTGAACAGAGCTGCATCGTGGCTGAGATACAGAGAGCGATCTGTTTTGTGTGCGTTCGTAGTTAAATCGAATGCCGTAATTTCATTTCAGATAATATATAGACATCAAGCAGATAACAAAAAAGGTATGTACATCGAATTATACTGCTCATATATATTTTTAACACATTAACCTGCAGAATCTGCAATAAAAGTACTGACTCGTGGATGAGTTAGGGCATAACCCATACGTATACTCTTTTTGTTGTTAAGCTCGTCCTCGTCTGCTTGGTACTGTGGGACACCACACCATTATAGTCTTGTAAATGTTTACCGTTTGGTGTTTGTAACTGAGAGTGTACTAGTAGTGTGTAGTTACACAAGAGGTTGCAGAAATGTTGCGCTAGACGTCACGGCTTCGTCCATTTTCACTCTCGAAGGAACGGGTTACGGAAATAATCGCTGTTTACTATGAGAACCATATGGAACAAATACATACACAGTGTGGTCAGAATGCAGATTTCTTTACAATCTTAAAACAGGTTGTGAGAATATAATTACACCTGTTGTTTACAAGAATTGATATAGTGAGATACATTTCTCACTCAAAATTCCTTAATATTTATTTTTAATTTCTCCTTCGATATGACTGTGCAAGTCCTTTAAGGCGGCGCGAAATACTGTCAAAATTTTTTTGAACAGGAACTCACTGAATGAATTCGTTGATTGCCTTATGCCCACAAAGAGATCGCCGTAGTCCGTAGTGCTTCCAACGGTAGACGTTACGTTGCCTGGCCCCTCTTCTTCTACTGGAAGCTCGTCCTCCTCTGGTTGATACACTGGGACATCACGTGGCTGAGTAAACCCCAACAAAGCCACAGTGAACAAGCATTCTTAAACGTAATACAGCAGTGATTCATCAACTTTCTGTATCGGCTTTTGCGTACTGCGATATTTGGTCTTCTGTATCCTCTTCAACGAGGCGGTCAAACAAAACCCGCGTCAAACTTCACAACACGTACACTTTATTTAACTTTGGTTAATTACATCGCTATTACGTTTGTATTGAGGACTATATGTAGTCCTTCGTTCCCCTTTGCAGAAGAACACGGTTCGAGTACTTGGAACAGTGAATTGCGTCATCACGCTACTGTCGCTAAGCATGAAACTCTCGTTTCTTATTGGCCATGCGTTACGAAGTACCGCGTTAACTGCCTTATGAAGCTCTTACATCATTGCCTCACTGAACAGAGGGAGAGCCCCTCAAATTTGTAAAATTGGTACACAGGTTTATGAATTTAGCGCCAACACCTGACAACACATTCTTGAGAAACAACTCGTTTCGTCTACAGAAAACAAGTATGCACTATTTTGCGTAGGAACTTATCGACGTTTCGAAGGAACATATTTGGCTCAGTTGTTGACCCCGGAAAAGCAAACTTGTAAACTACTGTTTGGCGTCACGCCCCAAAAGACAGCAGCCCTCATAGTGACCGCTGTGAGAATCTGAAACAGACTGGTTTAGGGTGCCTTTTCAGGCCTGCTTCTAGCTCGGTCGGCAAGTCAATGTTTCTATCGAAGTTTTCGACAACTGAGAACCGCGGATAGAGAAGACCAAATATCGCAGTAGGCAAAAGCCGATACAGAAAGGTGACGAATTACTGCTGTATTACGTTTGATAATTATCAAACGTAATACAGCATAATGCTTGTTCACTGTGGCTTTGTAGGGTTATTCTCACCTACCTGAACTCCGATTGCGTCGACCAGACCTGTTCAAACCAGAAAATGAGGATCTTCCAGCAGATGAAGAGGTGCAAGGCGTCGTAACATCTACGGTTGGAAGCATCTTACAAGAGGATCCCAGCACTACGGACTACGCTGCTCTGTTTGTGGCCATAAGACAATCCACTAATTCTTTCTCTGAGATCCTCTTCAACAAAATTTTGACAGTATTTCGCGGCACATTAAAAGACTTGGACAGTAGTATTGAAAGAGAAATTAAAAATAAACATTAACTTTGATTTGTTTCATTCTGGTCCGTCACACTAACAATTATAAATACAAACCACTCCATCCAATGTGACATATAAGCTTTTACTACGTGAAAACTTTTCTCCCTTACATGTTTCGGTCCTTAGGGACCATCTTCAGAGGGAACATAATTTCGAACTGGAAACTACCATCACAATAGGTGTTTTGATTTAAAATACATACACTTATATCCTATGAGTGAAAACAACACAGCAAACCACGAGCAAACCCTGGACGACATCAAGAACTTCCTCATCAAGATAGACCGCGGCACAAAATCTGCCCCATACAAGAAGGATGATAGGAGTACGGACACGAACCTACGTAGTTTAAAAATTTTAACTATTGACAATAAATGTGTTTTTAAATAACATCTAGAAACTTTTAAAAACTTTACAACACCTGGAAGCTGCTGTGATTGTGAAATGTTCGACTTTATGCGTACTGTGCAATATAGGATATAAGTGCATGTATTTTAAATCAAAACGCCTATTGTGATGGTAGTTTGCAGTTTGTAATGATGTTCCCTCTGAAGATGGCCCGTAAGGACCGAAACATCTAAGGGAGATAAGTTTTAACGTAGTAAAAACTTATATGTCACATTGGACGGAGTGGTTTGTATTTATAAATATTAACCTTTAACGCCGGGCATTTGAAATGGCGTAAGCTTTAGCTAGCCGGAGTTTATTTAAATGCCCGCTGCTGATGCGCGTTTAAATGCACTTTGCTACTCTGCATTTAAATGTCCGTTCCTGTTAGGGCGCTTAATTCCATCCATTTATCATAAAAATTGTGTTAGACACAGCATTTTTAAACACAATGCTTAAAGTTGTTTAATATTTATAAATACAAACTACTCCGTCCAATGTGACATATAAGTCTTACTACGTGAAAACTTTTCTCCGTTACATGTTTCGGTCCTTAGGGACCATCTTCAGAGGGAACGTCATTACAAACTGGAAACTACCATCACAATAGGTGTTTTGATTTAAAATACATACACTTATATCCTAAGAGTGAACATTTCACAATCACAGCAGCTTCCTGGTGTTGTAAATTTTTTAAAAGTTTCTAGATGTTATTTAAAAAAACATTTATTGTCAATAGTTAAAATGGATTGTCTTATGGCCACAAACAGAGCAGCGTAGTCCGTAGTGCTGGGATCCTCTTGTAAGATGCTTCCAACCGTAGATGTTACGACGCCTTGCACCTCTTCATCTGCTGGAAGATCCTCATTTTCTGGTTTGAACAGGTCTGGTCGATGCAATCGGAGTTCAGGTAGATAAGAATAACCCTACAAAGCCACAGTGAACAAGCATTATCAAACGTCATACAGCAGTGATTCGTCACCTTTGTGTATCGGCTTTTGCCTACTGCGATATTTGGTCTTCTCTATCCGCGGTTCTCAGTTGTCGAAAACTTCGATAGAAACATTGGCTTGCCGACCGAGCTAGAAGCAGGCCTGTAAAGGCACCCTAAACCAGTCTGTAAGATTTGAGGCTTTCACGGCGGTGACTATGAAGAAAGCAGTCTTCTGGGATTTGGCACCGTGTATATGTGGTGTTAACCGACGTTTCTCACGGTGTTGTCGCTTGCAGATTTCTTATACTTTTTCTTCTACCCTGAAGATGGGGGCGATACGTTCCTCCGAAACGTCGGTTAACACCACATATACACGGTGCCAAATCCCAGAAGACTGCTTTCTTCATAGTCACCGCCGTGAAAGCCTCAAATCTTACANGGAACGAAGGACTACATATAGTCCTCAATACAAACGTAATAGCGATGTAATTAACCAAAGTTAAATAAAGTGTACGTGTTGTGAAGTTTGACGCGGGTTTTGTTTGACCGCCTCGTTGAAGAGGATACAGAAGACCAAATATCGCAGTACGCAAAAGCCGATACAGAAAGTTGATGAATCACTGCTGTATTACGTTTAAGAATGCTTGTTCACTGTGGCTTTGTTGGGGTTTACTCAGCCACGTGATGTCCCAGTGTATCAACCAGAGGAGGACGAGCTTCCAGTAGAAGAAGAGGGGCCAGGCAACGTAACGTCTACCGTTGGAAGCACTACGGACTACGGCGATCTCTTTGTGGGCATAAGGCAATCAACGAATTCATTCAGTGAGTTCCTGTTCAAAAAAATTTTGACAGTATTTCGCGCCGCCTTAAAGGACTTGGACAGTCATATCGAAGGAGAAATTAAAAATAAATATTAAGGAATTTTGAGTGAGAAATGTATCTCACTATATCAATTCTTGTAAACAACAGGTGTAATTATATTCTCACAACCTGTTTTAAGATTGTAAAGAAATCTGCATTCTGACCACACTGTCTATGTATTTGTTCCATATGGTTCTCATAGTAAACAGCGATTATTTCCGTAACCCGTTCCTTCGAGAGTGAAAATGGACGAAGCCGTGACGTCTAGCGCAACATTTCTGCAACCTCTTGTGTAACTACACACTACTAGTACACTCTCAGTTACAAACACCAAACGGTAAACATTTACAAGACTATAATGGTGTGGTGTCCCACAGTACCAAGCAGACGAGGACGAGCTTAACAACAAAAAGAGTATACGTATGGGTTATGCCCTAACTCATCCACGAGTCAGTACTTTTATTGCAGATTCTGCAGGTTAATGTGTTAAAAATATATATGAGCAGTATAATTCGATGTACATACCTTTTTTGTTATCTGCTTGATGTCTATATATTATCTGAAATGAAATTACGGCATTCGATTTAACTACGAACGCACACAAAACAGATCGCTCTCTGTATCTCAGCCACGATGCAGCTCTGTTCACGCCCATAGAAAGGGCAATAATCTCTTTCAGCTATAACGGAAGGTCTTAGCACTGAAGAAGGAACCCCTCTAGCCCTGTAATCATGAAAATTGGTATGCATCTTATGCCTCTTTAAACCATCTCAGAGGCATAATTCGCAAATGTTCACTATCAATATTACCAACATTAAACGTCCCAAATTATTGGGCCAATCAATACCATAATATTTCTTGCAGGCCTGAACTAATCTTCGTGAAACTCGGCATGTGTATTACAGCGTCTGAGGCTATCTGAATATTATACCCCATAAACCTCTCCCGTCTGTAGCAGAAACACAGCAGCGTCTCTCATAAAGCCCCTCGGGCTAACAGCTACATTTCCTATGGTGCATTCTGTTCATACTGACGAGCCTCTGGCAATAACTTGACCGCTTTGAATTCTTTCAACATATGCCGCTTTCGGGCTCTATACAAATCAAATTCATATTATTGTTGTGGGATGTCGAGGCTCCCACATTTTCTAGGCATTCAGCTCACATATGTCGGTGTGGCTGTTGGTCTTACACCCCGGTAGGCCGCACTTTATGCCAGGAAGATTCCCGGAACTCATTTCTGTTAGAGCCTGCGACGACTCCTGGGTCATCAATCTGCAGAGAGAGGGAAGTAGGCGATTTGTTCTTCCCGTAACTTCTTGTTTCTGGAGGATAATCATTGGTGACAGTTAACTGGAGAATAATTTGTACCATTTTCTTATCCTTAAATTAATTTGTTACGTCTATTAACATTAATTTTATTTTGTCTGCCATTGAAGTCGGTTTATTAGCAGCTCTCGGGAATCGAAGGGGTGCCAGCTGTTCCTTTATCCTTTTCTTGTTCCTTCGGTGGGCCATAACGTAACTGAAAAAAAAACCAACAAAGCCAGAGTAACAAGCATTCTCCAACGTAATACAGCAGTAATTCGTCGCCTTTCTGTATCGGCTTTTGCCTACTGCGATATTTGGTCTTCTCTATCCGAGGTTCTCAGTTGTCGTAAATTCACATAGACACTGTAAACGATTACTCCTTTTTAGTAATATACTTCGCCCAATTTATGTACACATTTGTATTTTTATGTAACTATTGTAATTTACAAAACTCAAATTATGAATTTGAGGGAATTGCGTAAATTGTCACGCTATAGGCTCTACATTAGATGGAGGATGATGTAATGGTGCATGACTCCTTATGATGCTGATAATTTAGGGGCTCTCCCTCTGTTCAGTGAGGCAATGATGTAAGAGCTTCATAAGGCAGTTAGCGCAGTACTTCGTAACGTATGGCCAATAAGAAACGAGAGTTTCATGCTTAGCGACAGTAGCGTGATGACGCAATTCACTGTTCCAAATACTCGAACCGTGTTCTTCCGCAAAGGGGAACGAAGGACTACATATAGTCCTCAATACAAACGTAATAGCGATGTAATTAACCAAAGTTAAATAAAGTGTACGTGTTGTGAAGTTTGACGCGGGTTTTGTTTGACCGCCTCGTTGAAGAGGATACAGAAGNGTCTCATGTTCACCGACTGGGGTGGCGCCCAAGACAACTGCAAAGGTGAGACTACGTCAACGACTGCTTCCTCGAAGTCGCTAAAATGCGATACACTGCGAGCAGCTGCGTCCACCTTGACTATTCACAGCGAGTGGCTGCGGCCACCATCACACCATCTGCGGTAGCTGCCCCTCCCCCCCTGCCCCCACAAAGCAAGTGTAATAAGTGTCGACCAACGCGGGCCCAAAGTCTTCGTGACAATAGGGGGCAACAAAACAGCAAAGCGACAAACATCGGAACAACACAAGAAAACAACAGAATAGTCAGTGAATTTCAGGCTCCAATGGCGAGTTGTTTATCGGAAAGCAAAGTACATAGTGAAGTGAAGTGCATGAAATCAAATAAAACTAATGATTGTCTGGCAACTCAAGTACTTACTGCGTTAAAGCGTGCAAAATTCAATTTTGAACTTAAAGATTTGGTAATTTGTATTACTGCTCAACTACATAAATTTGGCGATTTTCAGAAAAATATAAACTCCAGCGATGTTAAACCTTCTGAGAAAACTCAATCTAAGAGTGAAGACTTTCAGGTTAAAATTGAGTTGCATAACGAAAAAACAAAAGAGTCTTAGAAAATAAAATTAATCGTGTACAGGAGGAGGTAAAACCAGAAACAGCCAAAGAGAACCTTGAACAGGACAAGAAAGAAATTTACAAGAACCCAGAGTCTTGTGATCAAAGTTTAGAAAATGATGAGAATAGCTTAGACAGTTTGGATTCAGAACTGTGCCGAAGAAAAAATGTGAAAAAAGTAGACAAACTTAACCATGTACAGGATGAGAAAGAAACGTCTGACAGAGGTGCAAGGCGATTAGGGTAGAGAGCTGAGCTGATTGTTACAGCAAGAGAAAGATTCTCAAAAACAACATGAAGTGATTAATTTGGAGATCAATGAGTTAGATAAGGAAAAATCACTAGAAAGCCATGACTGTACAGGTCTGCTTGACCCTCAAACCGCCACTCCCAGTAATAGTGCTAATACAGGTGTGAAAATTCATGTACTTGTGTTAGAAATGCTTGTAGCAAACGTAAACTCTGTCTATGAATGCTGAAACACAGCAACCGTTGCCATTGCTGGATTGAACAGTCTTCAACGGTTCATTTTCCACTGACAAAATTTCAGAAGGAAATTCATTCAACAGGCGCAAAAGACGTAAACTAGATGAATCTAGCAAATTTTCAGAGTTCCTCACATGTACCATCTGAAGTTAAATCATAAATTCATTGCTGGAAACTTGAGTCCCCCACGACTTAAAGTAGTTTTCGACAAACGAAAGACGAAAGTTTGTGGTAAAGAATACTCACAGCGTGGCAATGACTTTTCGCCACAGAAGTTTCAAAGTAGCAGAAGGACAGACGGTCCTAGTAGGAGCTGATTGTACAACTTAGAGAAATAAGTTTTGGAAATAGTACATGCCAAATGTCTCCTAATGTTTAAGATTACAACGTCTCAGATCTTACCCATCCCAGTGAAATTAATTTTAGTAATTTAAGTAAACTGACTAGATTAGGTGACTGTTAGAAGTATCCAATACAAAGGAACAACTTGTTTCGTACTTGTATGAAGATGGTTAAGAGCCCACAGACATAAATCACGTCCAGTGATAAAGTAACAGCTATTCTTGATACAGGAAGTGAAGTAAATTTGTTTTTTAAAGGGTTTATATGAAAATGATAAAGTTAGGTATCAACGTTCCACAATCACCCTCACCTATCATCTGGGGCTGGTACAATAGGCCAGAAGTGGCCGCAGTACAAGGGACTTAGTCCAACCCCACTAGCAATAAAAAAAATGAAGGAGTGTTCATGGTTTTAACAGATTACGAATGGTGTTATTTTAGGAAGTCACTTCCTACAGGAATATGCAAACAGTATAGATTTTGAAAAAGAAAATTCAATATAACCGAAGGTCGCGTCAAAGAAACAAGCGTTTTACCGATCAGCTTAATTTTTAGATGTCGAAAGTAAAAATCAAAGGCCATATTCTTAATTCCATACCTGATCTCAATCCTAGCGCCTCATCAGCTGGCGAGCAAGGTCATTCACAAACCTCAGTGTTCGTAATTTCCACGCCACGTATAGCTGCCAGCGAGGGTGCGGAGTCTATACGCAAGCAAGCGAGGGTGCTCATTGATGACGTCATATCCGATGAATGTTGCGTAAGTTGGGGCGCGAATGCTACGAAGAGTTCACAAGGTAACAAATCCGTCCATGGAGCGGAGGACAAGTATGGTTGTAATGTTTTCCGTCGAGAGAAACGACATAATTACGTCTGTAGTAAGCACAGGGTGGTACTCAGCAATTCCCTCCCTGGCGTGAAGGCCAGGTTTTGTGAAGGTTTTGTTTGACCACCTCGTTGAAGCCAAGGCCCATTTAACGGCCCATGTGATAGTTTCATGTTCCCCGACTGGGGTGGCGCCCAAGACAACTGCAAAAGTGAGACTACGTCAACGACTACTTCCTCGAAGTCGCTAAAATGCGATACACTGCGAGCAGCTGCGTCCACCTTGACGGCAACATGGCGTCATTCTGCTGTAAGTCATGTAACAGCAGTTACCCATAGTACCGCGCTTTTTTCGCTCGCCCTTATCATGACCTATCCCACTGTATTCTGGTTGTGCGCAGTATCGTCACGTCTAGACGTGACAAGCAGAGACGGTGGAGCCGTACCTCGCAGTAAACGCACTGCATCTGCCTTACAAAAACTGACGGGTTCATGCTGTTTATGATCGTAATCCTGGTTTACTGTAACGCTGTGTGTATTTCTTGACTCGCGTGCTACATTCGCCGCCCTTCTCGTGCTCCTAATAATCTCATTGATTGGAGCTCAGTTTCCTAACTTCCACTTCTTGAAGGAGTTGCAGTTCCCAAACCTAAAGACCGACTATATGATAAGGTGCTGCCTGTTCAAGGCTACTGCACATTTCAGGGGGCGGTGATGGTTGAGTATGGGACAATGGTGGAATGATGATTGTAAGGACACAAGAAAAAATGGTGGTAAGCCCCGTATGACAGGCCAGAGTCTAACTGCCTGCCTGAGGCACTGAGGCGATGCTAGTTGCATATGGACAGTATGAACTGACAGTAACAGCAGTTGCTGTACAGAGCGACTGCAGGAACTTCCCCGGGCTCACAGCCGTCAGAGCTGCCAACAGACTCTGTGGGCTGTTCTCTCCAGTGAGAACGGGGTCAGAGGGAAGTTTGTGGACGAGGGGCGATGAAGAAGATGTAGTGAAGAACTTTGTAATTTTTGCTCTATGACCAAATATTTTAGATAACGAAATCGAGAATGATGAGATGGGCCAGGAATGTAGTACGCTCTGTGAAATACGCACACGATTTCAAACACAACCTGAAATACAGGTACCATTTTCCAGACCAAGATTAAGATAGGAGGATAATATTAACACGAATTTTGATTAATTGTAGTTGGATGGTGTGGGCTGGATTCATCTGGCTCAGGATGGAGATCAGTGCGGGAAAGAGTAAAGTGGTAATGGACGATTCGTTTGTGTAAATGAGCAGATAATTGCGTTCTAATTGGTTTGCAAGCGATGTTTTTGATGCGGTTGTTGGACATGAAGCCCTGAAATCGGTGACGGGATGTAGTCTGGTAGTTTACTGAAGTTTCCATCTTCAGGACTGGAAAGTACACTAAGCAAGCAATCAGAGAGACGCAGGCCGTCTACACGGTGTCACACGCCACAAGATAGCCACATAGGCTGTTATGAACGTACTTACCTTAGCGTAGAGGCACAGAGGAGTGTGAACTGGAGCGTAGAGGCACAGACAAATGTGAACTGGAGCGGTGAGGAGCTGTCCGTTTATATCACACACGGCGATACGGCATACGTGGCTGCGCCCCCAAGTGATTTGTGACCGTTCCTTGAAATTGTGACCCACGTGTGTGACAATCGTGTGATAAGGAAAACAATAAGTAATAGGACTGACTGGTACCAGTCTATCAAAGTGTATCAGAACAAAGGCGTATTAACGTTCTGGTTCGTAAAAATCTGGTGATTAATGTTCATATTGCGAGATCATGTCCACATGTGACTTGAGTTTCATGTTGACACCACGTGTTCGGTTTACAGTGTTAAAATCTTTGGAATGTAAAGTACTGGATTGGTCATTGTATGATGCTGTTAGTAACCAGATTGTACGGTTTCAGATGGCTGAATATCTAGTAAATAATTAGGAAATGATTTGAAAGGAATTCTTCGTGCTGTAATTGATGTGTTATTGAGGAATTATTCTGGAAGAACTGAGGAACCCCACGTAAAACTGGTGATAGCCCATGTCTTGGTCGAGATTTGAAGCGAGCGCCTCCCGAACGCGAGGCTGAAGTATTACCGCTACGCCAACCCGCTCCGATTTACGGGTGCTCATTCCTCAGTTCACATACCGAAATCAAGTTTAGAAAAATTACAGCAAGTCACATCACCCACTTGTATTGATCTTGTTACGCGGTACGTGTGACTACAGACGGGGTTTTGGATTAGATGGGGGTACGGGAGGGTGCGTTGTCATGATACAGGACCTGTTTATTTCCACACGCGCCGATGTGTCTCAGTCTGTTGCAGCCTGCTCCACAGATGGCAGGCATTGCCGTGTCTCGCGCTTTAGCGGGAAGCCACTATATCGATAAAGAAAAAATTGCGGAATCTTTTTGATCCAGAAATCGAGTTTCATGAAAATTTCGTTCAAAGTTTCTCGAGTTGTTTACTTTCTGAGGGACATGATGCTGAGAACAGTAGGCGTAATTTTACAGCTTTAATTTCGGACAGGACTTGTTACTCGTTACAATTACCGTCGCTAATCCGGAGTAATTGTATGGGAGAAGTCATCTGGACTAGTGCAGAAAAAGTTAGCCATAGGAGACAAAAAAGAATAATTTTAACACAAATGAAGGGAATATTTATTAATATTGTCACCTTTACGGGGTACGCGTGACGAAATGACGGGTTCTAGTTCGGATGATTGGATTTATTTCCAGCTTGGTTACACACTCTCTTTTAATGACACGCAAATACAAAAATTCATTGCCATGGCGTTCTTCTGTACAATAATGTCTTTTTTATTGCTAGTGGGGTGGGACTAAGTCCCTTATACTGCGGCCACTTCTGGCCTATTGTACCAGCCCCAGATGATGGGTGAGGGTGATTGTGGAGCAATTGGTGGAATGAAGATTGGCAGGGGAAACCGAAGTTCTCGGAGAAAACCTGCCCCCGAGCCACTTTGTCCACCACACATCCCACTTGACCAGACCCGGTATCGAACCCGGGCCGCCGCGGTGGGAAGCCAGCAACTAACTGCTTGAGCTATGGCGCGGCCTAACATAAAAGCCTTACCATAGTTCATTGTGTTGGACTAAGCTTCTGGTGTATGTAATCGCACCCACTTTCTTCAGCAATTCTAGTTCAAGTTTCCAGCAAAGAAAATTCCGACTCGAACAGGAGTGCGAAGGACATACATGGCATCTAAAATATAGATCACTATCCCTGTAACAGGCCGTGGAGGCCCATAAGTTTGTGAGACGTCGAGGGTCCCACATTTTCTAGACAGTCGACTCACAGATGGCGGTGAGTTTGTCAGCCTTACGCGCCGGCCGTCCTTTACCCCAGAGGAAGATTCCTGGTACTCATTTCTGTTAGAGGCTGATTCGGCCCCAGGGTAATAGTGCGGCTGGGAGGATTAGGTAAAATAAAAATAAGTCCAATGACTTCGGGAATCGAACCCTCGACTTTCCGTCTTGTAGCATAGTGCCACAACGAACTGCGCTACCGCGTGCCCCCTCTTAAAGTGAAACATAATGGAAACACTGGATTTAAGGTTCCCATATCAGTGACTGTCATGTGTGATTTATGCCTTTAATCTGGTGAAAGTTCAGTGTTTGCTGGATTGCTCTTCGACCCTGAAGATGGAGGCAGTACGCTCCTTCAAAATTTCGTTGAGCTTCTACCAGACTACACAGCGTCATATCTCACTGAACAGTCCCTTGAAACCTAATGAGAATGTGAATAAATATGTAATTTAATTTGTTCAATTATTCTAATAAACGCTCTTAAAATTACATCTATCTAAATTACGAGTATATTACTTATATTTACTGTATACGGTATCTGCATGGCGTGGGTAATGTGGGCAGACGTGAGGGAGCTAAAAAGATTTTAAGCTTCATAAACTCTTCTCAAATTTGCTAACCTTCCTGTCGAAATAAAATATTCAGAGGTTTATGACAGAAACAGGGATCTGTTCTTCTGCGCATGGAGCATTTTATTGTGTATTTGTCCATCGTTACTTATGCTATGAAAGACCCCGTTTCGGAAGTTGACTCTTTTTCCATCTTCAGGTGAGTACGAGTAGATGGGCGTGTCGATTCCTTTGGGCCCGTTTGAAAGTTCTAACCTTCAATCACTCGACCGTTCCGGTGATTATGGTTAGCTCTTTCATACAGACCCAACAGAGGAGATCCCCTGCCATTCACCTGAAAACGGAAACAGATCCAGCTTCCGAAACGGCGGATTCATTTTAGAATATCTGATGTTGCGCGAAGTCCGAAAGCTCAGTAACCCCTAGTATTATGCAACACTGTCAGAACCGATGTAAGGCGGGCTCGCGGAGCGATGTGACTTGTTAATTATGTCGCAGATCACGGGATGACGTTGGTACATGTTGAGTATGTACTGCGGGCAGTGGGTGCTGAATCTTTTGAATCGCCAGGAAACGTGTAACCTTTATATGGAAATATCGTACTCCTTTCTCCTTGCAGTTTTCGTAGCTCTCTGCCATTACGCGAATTCTTTGAATACCTTGTCTAATTGTTTTAGACAGACAAGGTTTCCATGTTTGTTCGGCGTTCAAACGAAATGTGATTACCTGATGCATCTAGTTCCTTTGTGTCCAAAACAAGTGGGCATGTTGATACACGTGAGACTCTAATTATATTAAAGCATAATCCATTATAAGAATACAAGATTGAAATCATCGAACAGTATGGTCTAGCTCTAACCCCACAGACTTGCGTTCGAGAGGTCTTTGGTTCGAATCTCAGCCAGTAAAATCATTCCGAAGCAAATTTTACAATTCAAACCAAAAGGTTTCCAAGATCAAAGAATGCCTTGATGAAAATATGAGTTTGTGAAGTCGAAACAGGCTTGACTTCCTGTACCATGAAGTAATGTACACTAAGATAGAGGTATTCCTGTGGTTAACTAATTAAGCACTACATCTTGAAGGCGTATGGGGGAGTGGATGTATAGATCCATATTTTCTTGACCTCGGGGCTAGCTGGAGGTGAGTGGTCAGCTTCCACTTTAGCTCTGAGAAAGAGCCCCCCCCCCCTTGTACCCATTGCATTGAAGGCTGGTGGGGCCCCAGAACCGGTCAGGACGCTGTAGAGAAGAGAAGAGACCCTGCCGGGACTCGAACTTCGGCGCTTCGGTCATCAGCCCGTACCCAGTAGTCTCTAACACCTCTGATAGATGGGGCAAGCATTATAGATACCGCTAAGCCAGTAGAGGCCGAACTCGCTGGCTCGGTCGGGACTGATGGTACGCACCAGTATCGGTAGGGTATAGAGACTGGTAGAATATCATAGGGGGACGCACAATGGACCAGTATCTGGTCTAGGTGCATGGAGAAACCCACCCTCTCCAATAACTAACTAACTACAGGTCGATAATGCGCGTGTGCAAAAGTATCCGCCGGGTTGTCGCGTTTTCACGATGAAATTCCAACCCCTGAAAATATTAGTTATAATATAATATTGTAATTTCCTGTTGCCTTGACCTTTATATTCACACACGTGTGTTCCTAAAACCCCATGTCGTTACCGGATGAAAGTCATAGAGTAATTAAATTTTGTTTTACTGCTGCTGATTAAACGAACCACATATAGTAGCAATTGTTCTTTTCTAGGAAATCTAAATAGCTTTTCCTCCCCTAGTTGTATCCTGGCTTGCTGCCCATTCTGTCGGAAAAGTAAGTTGATAGAGAAATCCCTGACTTCCGGCTCCCTACTTTTACAGTTCCGCGTTGTTGTCTTCACTTGAAAGGGACGCGTAGGAACAATATTTCGACGCGTTTATGCTGAACAGAACCGGACGTCAGAAGCAATTCGCCTTCTCCTTGTGCTCTGAACCTGGTACAAGTACTAACACACACTTTAAACCCCATGACTTGGCAAACCATGAAGTGTCTCCCAGCAAAAATTATCCTCGAGCTATTGGTCATGAAGGTAAAGCTATCCCTGTAACAGGCCGTGGAGGCCCATAGGGTTGTGAGACGTCGAGGCTCCCACATTTCCTAGACAATCGGCTGACAGATGGCGGTGGGGGTTGTGAGCCTTGCGCGGCGGCCGTCCTTTACTCCCTGGAAGACTCTTGGCACCCATTTCTGTTCATCCTTAAATTTCATTACTTCGTGGCTTGAGACCGCGAGCGAACTACACGTACCGAGCGACCGCCGTTTGTCGGCGAAGTTAATGCCAACTTTAGCAGATAGAGGTTGTCGCGTGGTCAGGGCAACGAATCGGCCGTTAGTTTCGGTTTTCTATAAATAAATTATTCTAATGACTTCAAAAATTTGAAAACATGAAGCAATGTTCTCCTGAAGGGGCAGATTCTTGTTCATTGGCTAATAGAGAGAAGGCCAGCTGAATTCAAGCCAGAAGCTTCCAACTGCAGGAGAACTGGAGAAAGCAGGACGGTTAGCATCGCGTTCGTCTGAC